GGTGAAAGCTACTTTAATTTGATTTAAAAAGGGATTGTGGTTCTGGTTTAAAAAAAAAACAAAAAACAAAAAAAAAAAAAACACCCCAGTGCAACTATAGTGCACTTCAAAAAATGATGATTTTGGAGTGAAAAGTACCTCTCACCAATGCTATAACCCACCTTGTCATATAGATTATAAGGACGAGGAACAAACTCTACCTAAATGAGCCATCCCAGTGGCTTTGACAAAACAGCACAAGTTGACGCCCTGGAGTGGACTTCCAGGGTTTCCACAGTGTAGTACAGGATATCTTGGCAGAGACTTCCCATTCCATGCACTGGTTACTGTCTATCCATTTAGATAAGTTAATAAAAAAACAACACTTTGGCAAGCATACTCCCGTCTCACAGGGAGCGCCTACCTGTATGCAACCAAAGTGCTCAGTTGATTAATCAGTACTACTTGGACAACAAATTGAAACTGGGAAACTGAAAAATCTTGTCCCTAGTCAACACATTTTACATATTTATACACAGATGTTTGTCTGCTGAAAGCACCAAGTCTCAGCAAAGCTCAAGGAGGTTATGAACTCTAGACTGTTTACTCAGGCTGATGTGCTGCTCATTTCAGTGACCCAAAGGACCCACGTGAACCCAGGATCACATCAAATAAGCACAATATCCTAAAAAGCAACACTGTTTTTTTGTTGAACTGAAAAGTGAGAGTGTAAACTTCAGGATCTTTCCTGCAGTTAACGAAATGTGGATGTTGAAGGGTACAAAGAAAGACAGATGTTGAAATTAAATAGCTGCCATGCTTGAAAAGTCAAGCTTAACAGAGTGCAACCTGCCCTATAAAACAATGCTCGTTTGTATTTTAACTGAACTGAACGCCAAAGGTGATAAATCACAGCATAGAGCCCATCCCGAGTGCACTGTGCTCAGATAAAATTGCAGGATTGGAAATGGGTTTGTTTTCATTATCCTCTCCCATTTAAGTCAGTAGCCATGAGACACAAGATAAACAAATAAATATTTAGCTCTAAGCAGTTTATATAAATAGGTCACACCACCTTCTTCTTCTTCAGAGAAACTCTTTTCCAATAACAAACTGACACTGATGCTCACAACAGACACTGAGACATTTATGATTGAATGCTAGCCTTAAAAGTTTCAATGTGTATTAAATTTCCTCCTTAATACAATAGCCTACATCAAAATAAGGCATTCCCAATACGAGAGCTTTGAGGCTACGTGGGTTATAGACATGTTAGAGTTCATTGGAGGGATACTGCTGGTTTGCGCTCACAGATGTGGGTCTGCCACTGCCTGCCAAACACATTGCATATGTCAACATTCATTTTCAGGAATCAATAGTGACCCTTTGTCCCTAATAACTGTAATGTGGGATAGCAAAGCTTAACATTTCTCTGTCCCAGCAGGATTTCTGGGTTGTTTCTTTTGGGATAGTTACAAATATGTTTGATGTAGATGGTGGTTTTTCTGACATTAAAAGAGTTCTGCAGTGAAACTGTAGTCTTGACTCTGCTAATTCTCAGTGAAGTTTTTCCTTCTGTGTTATAACTTCATGCTGAGGTATAAGAGAATATAGGAGAAGTCTCAGTTAAAGCACAGTACAGAAGATACTTGACAGAGGACAAATCTTTGGATGTACAAAACAGATGTACACAGACCATCACATATAGCACTGTGTCAGTTTAAGCTGTGGTGATGCAGACGTAGGTGATTTAACATCATAATGAATTAGATTTCCACTCCTAGGAAATTAATATACTTCTCTGTGTTTTGGACCTTTTGAATATTGTTAAATTCATTTTTGATTTTGAGAAATGATCATATTACCTGGATTTTATATTGTTTTGTTTTCTTGTTTAGTTCCTGTGAATAGAAATAGTAGAGCTTGGTAATCCCTGGTAATTTCCCTGCTATATTGTTAGAGGTGTCTAGTTTATTTTCAAGTTATTTAAGTGTTATCAGTTTCAGTTCCTGCTCCCTTGGTCTGGTCTCTTTGTTTTCTACTTGGTGTCCCCTCCTGTCTGTCATGTCTCTCGCCCTCTCTCTCTCTCACTTGTCCTTGTATCTGTGCTCTGTCTCCATGTTCTTCTCTTTGTGTTTCATCCTTTGTCACCCCCAGTCTCTCTGTTTATCCCTGCCTGCAAGTCCTACTCTGAGTCTTGGTATGCATGACACTTCCTGTTTTATTTTGACAGTCCCTTGTCTCATGTGGATTGTGTTCAGCTTCATTTCTCCTGACTTATTATGCCCGATTAGTCCCTCCTGTGGGCCTCCACTTTCCCTAATCATCCTCATGTGTATAAATTGTGTGAGTTCCCCTTCATCCTCACTGGAATGTCAGTTCACCTCCCTCCATGTGTCTTTCCGGGTTTCACAGTCTATGATCTTAATGTTTAGCTTTGCCCAGTTTGATTAGTAAAGTCTGAGTCTCCTTTTGTTTTGTATTCTTCTTTTGTTTTTCTCCCGGCCGAAATAAACTGTCTAGTCCTGTTTGTATGCGTCTGCTTTTAGGTCCTCTCTCCAACATGACAGACAGAAGAAATCCAGTCTGGATTCATGAGTACTTCTCATGAGTACTAACTCTGTAAAGACTATATGCAATGACCTCCCCTGTACCCTTAATGCCAGGTTTTGAATAGGGATGGGTATGGTTTAGGTTTTATCCGATACCAGTACCAAACCGGTACTTTTTAAACGGTGCTTAAAGAATGGAGAACACAAAATTGGTCCAAAAACCTCTCGTGTTCAGCTGTTTTTTTGTAAAAAGATAACAATGTTAGCCTTTTCTGCAGCTATAGGGGATTTATGACATCACTTCTTGGCTGGAAGCAGTGCTTAAACAATGG